TTACAGAATAATTGTTATTTTAGAATTTCCTTTTTTCATTCACGATTATAAACATTTCTATAACATTATGTAATTATATAAATACCATTTTAATATCTGGATAATATTTTTCTATTTGTCCCAGTCCTGTGTGGCCACTCACCCACTCACCTGCAATAGAAATGTGGAATGTTATCAATTCCAGGTGGTATCTAAAAGCAGACATTTGCAAGATAGAACTATTACATTGTAGCATTCTCTGGCTTGATAAGTGCTTGTAATTCATACAACTAAATAATTCCCTTCATTTGAGGATAAAGACACAGACATCAAGGGAGTTGTGGGAACTTGAGTAGAGTTCTGAGAAGAATGCTAGAGTGTCAGATGAAAGTTTTTCAGCTGTGATCTGGACCAATCAATTCACTCCCTTGTGCCTTAGTGTGGTCAAGTCTCACTCAGCTATATCATACTTTTAGGAATGTTTGTTTATCTATTTAAGAAGAGGCAGTAGGTGGTTAAAACTAATGAATGACATTTTCAAATGCATTTGTAGAACACAGCATCAATTAATGTGTTTACCATAATATTGGACACATAGTATGTGTTGAACACATATACTTACTGCCATTGTTATTGTTATTATTGTTGTTTGTACAATGTCTCTACTTGACGTAGGATAGGCACGTTTTAGAGCTGTTCCTCAATGTATTATCAAGTACAGTTAATTATCTATAGGACTTCCTCACCCTTCGCTCCGATCTTTTCTCTGTGACACTACGGAATCATTGTGGTGCACTCATCCAGACAGAGAAAGGTCAGAGCGAGATTACGTTTTTTTTTTTTTTTTCCTGCCAGGATGGCTGTTTATCAGAAGGAAAGGAACTGTCAGAATTGGAGGAAGACATGTACCTGTTCATTCATCTTTGCCCCTTTCTGCCAATGCAGGATAACTAATGAAAGAACATTATCAAGTGATTGCTTTTTAAATCACTTCAATCAGTGGTGCTTCCAATTAGATTGATATTTGTCATAACTATTTTACTGGCTCTTGGTAATCACAGAGTGAATTACTGCTATTACTCTCCAACATTACGATGAATCAGTTCACAAAAGCAATGACAAAGAAGAGCAGGCTGGGTGCAATGGCTCACACTTGTAATTCCAGCACTTTCGGGAACAATGGCAGGAGGATCACTTGAACACAGAGTTCAGGACAAGCCTGGAAACATGGAGACCCTGTCTCCACAAACAAACAAACAAACAAACAAAAAAGCTAGGCATGGTGGCGTGTGCCTCTGTCCCAGCTACTCGGCAGGCTGAGGTGGGAGAATTGCCTGAACACAGGAGCTTGAGGCTGCAGTGAGCCATGATCATGCCACTTCATTCCATCCAGGGAGACTCAGTTTCATAGAAGACAAAAACAACCACCCTACACACACACACAAACACACACACACACACACACACACACACACACACACACACCGTGAATTATTGGAGAGACTACTTTACAACTAAAGAGTTATGCAATAAAGTGATGGTGTCCTAAAGAGGAGTATCCTAGTATTACTCTGTTTTTTTTTTTTTTTTATTTCAACTTTTATTATTTTAGACATGGAGGTACATGTGCATATTTATTACATGGGAATCTTGTGTGAGGCTGAGGTTTGGGGTATGAATCCCATCACCCAGGTAATTAGCATAGGACCTGATAGGTACTTATTCAACCATCTCTCACCCTCCTTCCCCACTCTAGTAGATGGCAGCATCTCTTGTTCAAATATTTTTGTTTCTGTGTGCTCAATGTTTAGCTCACACTTATAAGTGAGAACATGCAGTTTTCTGTTCCTGTGTTAATTCACTTAGGATTATGTCCTCAAACTGCATCCATGCTGCTGCAAAGGACATTATTTCATTATTTTTTATGGTTGCATAATATTCCACACTTATACCTACCACACTTTATTTATGCAGTCTACCATTGGATATTTATGTACTACATTTTCTTTTTGCAGTCTGCCATTCATAGGCCCCTGAGTTGATTCCATGTCTTTGCTATTGTAAATAGCACAGCAATGAACATAAACCCACTGACAATGTTAGACAGTTACTTTGTTTTTAATTATCATTAGTCTTCCAGATGCTCTCCAGACTTTCTCAGTTAAGAGTGATTGCCTTCTTAGAACTCTGCTGTATTAACTCCAGATTATATAATTCTAATTTCAAATTAGAATTTGTTTTTGTGTTACAAAGCTTCCTAGGTTGGCATCACAGTTTCATTATTACTGGCTTTGTGTCCTTAGGTAAATCATTTAATCTTTCTCTGCCTATTTTTCTATTTTTTTTTAATGGACATGATTATAATTGCATCTACAAAGCATTGAGAATAAAATAAAATAATTTATGATATTAATAATTAGTGTAGTGTCTGATGTATAGTAAGTGCTTGAAAGTGTAAGATACTGTTGTTGCAGTTTTTAATTTGATTAGTAGTATGTGACATATTTCCTAGGATCTGTAAATCAGGCAAATATAAATTACCTATTTTTAGGTGTTAATAATACTTATTATGGTGAAAAATGACCTACTTTACAAATCAAAAAACACAATGTTAATACTGGGTCCACCATAAAGTAATTATAATATCTGGAAATCATTGCAGCTCATCTGCATGACAATACACATTTTTTCTCAGAACTGAAGTAAGTTTCAAACTATATTATACATACAATTTGGCATGTTTTATTTAGTAGCTTTCAGTACTCTGATCACACTTTTACTGATAGTCCAATTTTATTTACTCAGCTCCATTTTAAGAGTGATTGAGAATATGTTATTATTCTAGTTTATAGCTGAGGACCTGAGACTCAGAATGAAGTTACATCACTAAACACAATTAAACAGGAATTAGAACCTAGATTTTCTTAAATCAAAAGTATAAACTCATTTATGTTGTGACTTTCTAAGCTATCTGAAAGAGTAAACCACCCAATATATTTTTCTGCCCCAATAGAATGACTTCTCTTGGGAATACATTCTAAAAATGTGTGTTGTTAGGCAGTTTCATTCTCTTAAGAACATCATATGGTGTACTTATGCAAACCTTTATCGTATACCCTCCTATACACCTAGGCTATGTGGTAAAGCTCATTGCTCCTAGGCTACAAACCTGTGCAGCATATTACTGTACTGAAATATATAGGAAGTTGTAACACAATGCTATTTATATATCTAAAAATACCTGAACATAGAAAGTATACAGTGAACATGTGATATTATAGTCTTATAAGACCACTGTCATGTAAGCGATCTGTTGTTGACTGAAACATCATGTGCCGTGTATGACTATATTAAGCAGGCATGGCTCTGCTTGGTCAGGACAGACACAGATGAAAACAATAATAAGGGCATAAGATTTTCCACTGCATCTTAGTTAAGGAAGCTGTAAAGGGACTGAATTTTGAACCCAATAATATTGGTAAATTATTTAGTAATCTACTTAGAATAATTTCACTTCTTTTATCAATAAAATATTTAAGCCCCTACTACATACCTGTTTTGAATGTATTTTGTTATTCAGGGAACCAAGGAGTACAGCAGTATGAAAAAAAAGAAAAAAGAAATCCCCACCCTTATGGGGCTTCTTTGCCAACTGGAAGGAAAATAACAGTTTAAAAAAGTCTGTTTGTCAAAGATGTTGTATGCTAGATGGTAATAAGTGATTTGAACCAAAATTAAGGAGGGAAAGAATAGAGTCAAGGTGTAAGTCACTTGTTAGTCTTTTTGAATACGAAAATGGTGGCCTGTTGATCTGACCTGAGAAAAAATGGCAGAAAGAGAAAAATTGGTGGTGGCAGGGAGCTCAGTTTGGGATATTCTAAATTTAAATAGTTTATTACCACACTAAATGTGTATATCAAGTAGAGAGTTGGCTGGGCTAAAATATAAATTTGTCAATTCCAGGTGTATAAATGGTATTTAAAGTCATAAACCTGAATTAGACCTTAATGGGAGTTAGTCTAATAGAAAATAGGAGATGGTCAACAGATAAGCCATTATTATTACAAAAAGTTGGAAGGAAACTTCAGAGGAGACTAAGAAAGCTTGACCCATCGTGGGAGGAAGACTAGAGAGAATTTTGCTTTGGAAGCCAAATGAAAAAAAAAGTGTCTTCATTGGAAAGAAATATTAAATTATTGTAGTGTAAACTATAGCAGTGCTAACTAAATCTAATTTACTCCAGGATAGAGTAAGGAGCAATTGAAAGTAATGTCTGAATGTCTATTATTTGAGTAAGGCATGTGGTGATTAAAGAAAGTAAATACATGAGTGCACACACATGCACATGCAGATAAAACATTTTCCCTGCCTCAGAGAGCAAAGGCAGGGAGATAGAATTAGGAACACTGGTTATAAATCTCATAATATATGACAAACAGAGGTCTGTGGGATTACAGATGAGGTAGAGATTAATTTTGATTGGCAGCTTCAGGGGGAAAAGGTCATATTTGAGCTGGGTATTAAAGAAGACTATGAGTTTGTAGATGAGAAATAGGAGTAGACAAAAGAATAATGACATTTAAAGTGGATAAGATAGAATGGAAAATGATATGCAGGCATGAAAAGTCACAGTATATATAAATGGGGAATAAACTCATTTCACAAAAATAGACTGGGCAAAGGAAGCAGGGATAGATAGCACCAGATATACCTTTTTTCCTTTGTTAAAAATCTTGCTCAACAATCCAGTAGAAAGGCAAATTTGATAAAGTGAGATTTTTCTCAGAACCAAATATTGTGATTACCATCATTTTGCAAAAAGCCTTTTATATTCTGGGAAAAGCCTCAAGCATGACATAATATAAAATGAATATACACTTGGATAAAATAGTGTAGAGAAATATAAATTATTCCCCGTAGGTTATTCCATTAGGTCAGTTTTAATTTCAAATAACTTTGCCTGGGCTATTTTCTAACTTCCTTAAATGTAATGCCATGTTTTAATTTTATCTCTTTTCTAGAAATGGTTCTCTTTATTGCGAGGCTGCAAGGTCACCCAATGAGAAAGGGGCCAAATAAGCTGAAACATCATCTAATACACTGAATGTACGTGAGTACAACATTAATAGCTTTAAACAAAAGTAGATAGAAATGTTGTTTCCTGTATGACTTATGCTGCCTTGGAATAGTCCATGTTTGTGAATTAATGTGGTCAATTGCTGGATACATGGCATAAGCCAAGCTCTCCCTGGTGAGCGTGGGGTTGCTGCACACACACGTGTCAGGGCTCCATTTCTCCTCTAAATTACAGTTTTGCCTGGAGTCAGTTTGTCTTTTGTAGCTGCTCTGCTTCTAGTAAAACACTGAAAGCCTGCTTTCCAAGTGCAGTTGCATGTATTTTCACTTATTCCACTTTCTGACTCCTACTGAACTCATAATTTACCCTTCCTTTATCTTTCTCTATTGCCCTGGTCCATCAAACACTACACTTAGCTTTATTTGCCGCTCAGAATCCAAAGTCAGTCACTGGGTTCTCTCCAACCCTCTAGTTCTCTGTGAAATCTATCCCCTGACATATTTTTCTTGCCAGCTGACCAGTTAATATTTATTTGTGGAATTGATTATTGGATGTACCTTTCACTAGATCAAATGTTCATGCAGGCAAGAATCATATCCGTTTAGTCATACCTCTTAGATATTCAACAGGACTATGCTGTCTGACCCCATCTAGTCATGAGTAGGATGTGACCACTTAAAATGTTCCAGCTCTTTGCACATTTTTAAAAATCTCTATTCTCCTTCGGCTCAAACCTTGCCCTGACTTCTTTAATTTCAAATGAATTAGCCTTCTGGTTTATAAAATGATGAGGCTATTTGATGTGTACATCACTGAATGTTTCTTCTTTAGACCTTAAAATACCTCTCTGTTTTTACTTATTTATTTTCCAAAATAAATTTATTTTCCATTTATTTTCCAAAATACTCCCTCATATTAAATTTTAATTACAACACTTTCCTCACTTTACCAGTTTTACTGAATCAGTTATTCATATCTAAATTTGCATTTCTCCATTTCCCTGGTTCCTTTCACGCTGACTAAAACCAAACACATTTTTCTAATCCTGGAAACATCTAAACAACTAAAATCCAAACAAAACTATTCCCCCTCGTTTCACTCTTTTCGTGTGTTTTTCCCCAAATTAGCCTCTCTTTACTGATCCAAACTTCTTGAAACAACTGTCAATATTCTTTCCCAATACATGGTAAATATAGGAGAAGGGACTATTTTTGTTTCATTGTGCAGTGTATTTCCAGCACCTAACATAGTATCTAAAATGGTAGGAGACCAATAACTAAACAAATAAATTTTAGCTCCCATCTCACTTATCTCACTTCCTGAGTGTTTAACACTCACTGTACCTGAGTGTTAAAATTTTACTCTAAGGACTGCTTAAATTACTGTCACAAAGATAACCAATCATAACTCCCTCCTCTCTTATTCAATTTATAGCAATGCTTCAAATTCTTTTTTATATCCCATATCATAACCTATCCTAATTATTTTAACCATGTATATGTCTTATCACTTCTTCAGGGTCACACCCCCTTGAGATCAGGACAATTAACTTGGTTACTTCTTTTGCTTCCCTAACTCTTCACTAATAACTTATTATTCAATTTTTTACTAGTGACTTTAATTAACAGACTTAAGTACTGAAGACTAATAGAACTAATTAATAGATTTGAGTACTCTGATATTACTGGGGCAACTTTAGTACTACCTTTGATAAAATGTTTTGTTCCTGAAATAAAACTGTAAAATATGGAATAGAATATCCTGTTATAAACCATTTCAAAATCATTGGAGGAAGAAACCAAAAACTTTATACCAGATGAATCATGACATTTATATATAGGCTTCATAATTATATATAATCAATTTTAAAAAAAATAATTAGAAGTATCTATGCATATGCATGCTACATCACACATACACACACACACACACACACACACACACACACACACGCACCCCTTTACTCTTGGCTACTTTAGTGTATTATGTGCCTGCGGTATATATCAATTAGGGCTGTATGATAAACATATTTATGCATGCGACCTTAGACATATACCACGCAAATAAGCCAAATAAAATATAACCCCATATAAGCTAACATTCTCACAAAAGAGACAACACAAAATCTGAGTTAAATTGTAAGACTGCAAATTATACATTCATAAGCAATAAGAACACATGTATGCACACATATCTAAAAAATTGATTGTGACCACTTGATCAATGAACAGTTATTGATTAAATTATTTATAAGAAAATAAAAGCCTTTTCTACTGTCTTTAAATTCCTAATGAATGTATACAATAGAAGGTAGAAAACCCTAAGCAACTGTTTTAGGAGTTTGAACAGAGATTTAATAGTGTTCCACATTTCCCTTCCCTCTATCTTCATTTTCTGCAAACCCAAAATAGGTTTTCATTTATTTGCTGTTTGATTCTTTTCTTCCACTAACTCATATGCATCAAAAGATTGAGTTGAGTGTATTTTCCCCAAGTCTGATATTCTAAAACTTATTTGGGACACAGTTTCTTGTAATTACCTATAGCTGCATTTACTGAAACCCACAGATTAAAGTTTTCCTACCATGCACCTTGCTCAGGCCTTTGGGAGACATTAGGGTCTATGGAAAGGGATCAGGAAACTCCAAACTGATTGGTGGCTTGAGGGCCAAATAATTTATTGTTTAATGAACTTTTCTGTTTTTCTATTACTCGTGACTTCATATAAACATAAATCATTTAAGAAATGTTTGGGGGATATTTATTTTATCTCCCAGTAAAAAGTTTTGAATGTAACCCATTTTCAGACTTAAAATATAACTTCTACTGCTTGTATATGATGTTCACTCATGTGGATCACTGTTTATCATAGGGGCATTTATAAAATCAAAATAATTAACAAAGCAGTAGTATTTTAAAAATCTAGACACAGTAACAATTCAGGATGAGCCATCAAGGCTTACAGAGAATCACTTTAATGTGGGAGGTCTGTCAGTCTCTAATTTGGTAAGCTGAATGATTCTGCAGTTTATGATCTTTGCCTTCTCTGTAAATATTTGGCATGTACATTGGGTCAGACATTGAAACCATGTCCGCATGTGACATATCAGATGCAGACCACAAATTCTATTATATTCATTATATTTAGTTTTTCAGCTATCTCTCTTTTGTTTGCTTCTTTTTTTTTTTTTTCATTTTAAAACCATGAAACTAAAGCTTTATTAAGCTCTTACTATGTACAAGCATTATCTCATTTTATCCTCACAACGACCCCTCAAGTAGGCATTACTGTCTCCAGTTTACATATAAGTATTAGCTGTACTGATCCTTCCTTTTAAGATTTAAAATACTTTAAGTTCTGGGGTACGTGTGCCGAACATGCAGGATTGTTATGTAGGTACACACATGCCATTATGGTTTGCTGCCTCCATCCCCCCGTCACCTACATCAGCCATTTCTCCCAATGTTATCCCTCCCTACAGCCTCCTATCCCTCCCCTAGCCACATGCCCCCCAACACACCCCAGTATGTGATGTTCCCCTCCCTGTGTCCATGTGTTCTCATTGTTCGACATCCACCTATGAGTGAGAACATGTGGTGTTTGGTTTTCTGTTCTTGTGACAGTTGCTGAGAATGATGGTTTCCAGATTCATCTATGTATTTGCCTCTTTTTATGCTGCTGTCTTTCTATTTTACTAAACTAAAACAGACTCCAGTCCCTTCTTTGGCCATTGGGAAGCCGCAGCATCAGTTAATAAGAAAGAAAAAGTGAAATTAGGGTGTCTACTCCCCACGTTTATTGGTGTGTTCATCTCAGACTGGCTGGATTCCTCAGCTAAAGGTTTGGAATATTTCTTGGCTACCTTCTAGCCATGAAGCATACAGACACTGCCCACCCAAACAACTTCCTCCTTTGCTACCTTCTCTGCTAGAAGTGGTAACAACACTTTTTCTCTTACTAGCCCCGGGTCCTGCATTCTCATTTATGGCTCCCTAAACCCTGATTATATCTTTGTAAGGAACTTTCACTAAAATATCTTAATTTGAGCATGCAAGCTATTTTCTATCAGAAATCTGATTGGTAGAATTCTCATTGCTATTCCTAAATTAGCTTCATATTGATTATAATTTTGCAAAATTATGGCTAGTAGTGCTGAATATTAAATTAAATCTATTTAGGATGATAGACATGAATTACATGTCAACAGAGAAAAGGTCTTAGAAAAATAAGAAAAAAACATTGCATTAGTAACATTTGCTCTTTGCTTTCATATGTTTACTTTAGACACTAAATTACATTTAAGAATTGAATAAGTAGAAGGTGGTGCTGTTTCTGGTGAACTTTTCCCTTTTATCTACGGATGGACAGCGCTGAAGTTATAATGAATTTACCAGGACATCCAAACCACATTTTTCCCCATTTAATTTTTTGTATTAAAAAATGTTAGAGGTTAGCTGATTGATATGGCCAAGAGTTGCACTATTTTGTTTTTATTTATTTATTTTTATTTGTATACATTTAAGGGATACAAATGCAATTTTGTTACATGAATATATTGCATAGTGGTGAGGGCTGATCGCTTCACGGGTCTAGCACCTGAGTAAGTTAAACTCTTTTAGACCTTGATCAACTTTTAAACAAGTAAGGGATTAACTTGGCATGGATGGCCATATTTGCCAAAATAAAGGCTGGCTGTGTTGGTATTGTTGGCATCCGGCAGGTCAAATGATTATTTTAATAATTTGCTTTTATTTTTGCCATTTTAAGGAGGAAGTGTCTAACACCAGTAGAATTAGACTTCTTCCATCTGTAAAGAATTCAAAAGAGAAACACGTTTTCTTATTTAATTACACAAATTAACCTCTGAATACTTTTTAATATTTGTATGAAAGAGGCAGTTCTTGGTATTAAATTTAACCTTGTAAAATGGTATACAATTATGCACCAAAATGTTTCCACAGCATTTTAGTATTTTAAATTTGCTTGCTGATTTGAAATTATAAAACAAATTACAGATTTTTTATGAAGT